CAACCTGCGCGACCTCAGCTGCCACCCCCTCAGCTGCTCCGGCTTCGGCGCCGAGGACGACGACGGCGACATGGACGTCGGGCCCTGACGGGGGGGACGAAGGGCTCAATAAAGCACCGGGCCCTCTCGCTGTCCCCCTTGGGGAAGCCGCGTTGTGTCGTCCTTCTCCGTCCCGGTGACACGGAGATGGAGATGCCACCGTGCCAGGAGAGCTGCGTTTATTGGAGCAATGAAACATGCGGGACAGGGGGTGCCAGCTGCTGGGGGGGCCTCCTGCTTCCCCCTGCTTGGCCGGTCCTTTCCAAGGGGCTCCGGAACCAAGGAGGGGGACGCTCTGCGCCTGGCCTTGGGGACAGCGGTGGCAGCGCGGGGTGACACAGACCGGGAGCCCCCCGGCTCAGCGCTCGCGGGTATCGGAGTAGTTGGGAATGTCCCCGCCGTCCTCATCCCACTTGGGAAGGGGCCACCAGGCCTCGGCGTCCGGCTCCTCGCCGTCACCTGGGGAGGGACACAGAGGGACACGGGTGGCAGGGGGACCCCCCCCTTGCTGTCCCCTGTGGGCAGGGGGGACAACACAGAGGGGCAAAGTGGGGTTGAGGAACTGGGGGGGAATAATTGGAAGCAGCAGGAACCACCCAGGAATGAGGTTTCTCAACCAGAAGAAAACGGTGGGGCAAATGAGCCACATTTTGGGGAAAAACCTTCTGACTTCAGGGACATAACGGGGGGAAGGAGGATCATTTGGTGCAGGTTTTTTTTCTTGGAATTTGAGGATTTTTCCTCTAAAAAGCCCGTCCCCTTCCCCCATGGCGCTGGGGCTCACCTTGCCACCCCCCGGCTCCTTCTTCCACGTACTCATCCTCGGTAGACCCAGGGCGGCAGCCGTGGCGGGGGCCGCGGCCCTTGGGGCCCCTCCTGGGGAACGGCAGCCGCTGGCTCCTTCTTGCACGCCGCTTTTTTGGGTGGTTTTCCCTTGTTTTTATCAGAGCCCTTGGCACAACCCGTGGGACCTTTGGGCGGCCTCTCCTTGGCCTTCTTGGGCGGCTTCTGCTGCTCCTTCTCGGAGCACTTGGGCCTCTGGCGGGTCCTGGGGGGTTTCTCCTCGGGGACGTTGGGACCTTCCTCCCCCTCGGGCAGCTCCAGTTGCACGCCGCTTTTTTGGGTGGTTTTCCCTTGTTTTTATCAGAGCCCTTGGCACAACCCGTGGGACCTTTGGGCGGCCTCTCCTTGGCCTTCTTGGGCGGCTTCTGCTGCTCCTTCTCGGAGCACTTGGGCCTCTGGCGGGTCCTGGGGGGTTTCTCCTCGGGGACGTTGGGACCTTCCTCCCCCTCGGGCAGCTCCAGGTCCTCGGGCTCCGTGATCTCCACCACCTCGAAC